GCGGCTGCTCTGTGGCGAGGAGCGCGGGTTTTAATTGGATTTATTCGGAGGTGCCCAGAGGGGTCAGAAAAAGGAATGGGGGGGGTGGGGCGTGTTTTTGGTGGATAATATCAAATAATAATTTCTTCTGGAGGGCCCAGGGACTTGGAATGGGTAATTAAGTGGGAGCAAATTGCTCCAGGGAATCAGGTCACGCTTCTTCCTTGGGGGGGGTGTGGAAAAAAACGATAAAAAAAAGAGAAAATATTGCTGTTTCTGATGTTTTTGGGCTCAGGGGGAAGGCAGGTCACCTGTCGGGTGCTGACTTGGGGTGCAGCCACAGGGGCATGGGCTCACAGCTCCCCCCTCCCCGCAGGGCATCGCGCAGACGGTGCTGACTGGGGCGGTGCCGTGGTTTGGAATATGGCTCTGTTCTACCCCGAGAGGGTGAGGTGGGTCCTTGAGGACCCCCCGTGGGTCCCTGCCAGGGGAACAGGGCACCCCGGGTCCTGGCTTGTCCCTACAGCAAAGACCCGGCTTGCATGGGACACCCCAAATCCAGGTGCCACACTGACCATGTCCCCCTGCCCCATGATGTCCTAGAGCCGTGGCCTCGCTGAACACCCCGTACCGACCCGCCGACCCCGCCGTGGATGTCGTGGAGATGCTGAAATCTTATCCCACCTTTGACTACCAGTTCTACTTCCAGGAGCCGGTGAGTCCAGAACCACAATTTTAATCCTCCTCCCCTCTTTTGGGGCTTAAACCTCCCCGAGAATGGGGACGTGCCCATGTCAGGGTCCCCAGCTCATGGATGGGCGTCACCCCAGCTGCCGATGGGTCGTGGTCCCCTTGCCAGACCTTGTTCCCACACTGAACTGCAAAAAAACCCATCCCCAGCCTCCACATGAGCCCTGATGGGCAGCAGGATGCGGCCCCAGGGCCATGGAGTGGGTCCCCAGGAAGGGTTGACATCATCTGTGGTGCTTCCTCCCCTTGCCCATGCAGGGTGTTGCAGAAGCGGAGCTTGAGAAGGACATCGGCCGG